TGATAAGAACTTTTCGTTACTGGATTGTGAATTCAAATTGCACAAAATTAAAAATAATTAATATTTATTAATATTTTAATAATGTGTTTCAGGAATATTATAATATAATACCTAGGTTTATTATATAAGTGGACATATAACCTCTATAAAATACTCCTGTAATATTAAAAAAATATTTATGATATTTTCGAAATATTATAATAACATTATTTTAATTTTTTTTAATAATATTCATGTAACATTCTAGGAACATTTTGCGCTTATAGGGTAGTCATAAATCAGAAGTTAGAAGCTGGAAATTGACCAATCACAGTCAATTTCCTACTTCTAACTTCTGATTTATGACTAATGGCTTATCGTAGAATGGCCATTAAAATTATAATAGATTAACTTAAACGAGCCTTAGGCCAGTATCAGACTACACATTGAAAATTGAGATTGAAGATTGAAAGATTGAAATTTGATCAATCGAAACAAAAGGAGCTAAAATTTCTTGGTGTTCATTGTGATCAAATTTCAATCTTCAATCTTCAATCTCAATCTTCAACGCGATAAAACTTGCATAGCCGCATAGAGAAAATTATCCAATCACATTTCCGTTATAAAGACTACGGTCCACTTAATGCTACGAATATTTCGAAGCATTTTTTGATTGGTCAATTAGTAAAATTCTTTCTTCCGATTGGTCAATCAAAAGTTTCGAAGCAATAGCTACGTTCAGCAGAGAAAACTAATCAGTTAGCGCTTAGCGATTCTTTAATACGATTGGTTCCTACACTTAGATTTTGCGAAGAATTAAAGGCGAGAACCAATCATATTAAAGAATCACTAAGCGCTAACTGATTAATTTTCTCTGTTGAACGCAGCCAATGACTACGTTTACACAAATCGATTTACGTCGAGTTATTCCATTCTTCAGAGGAATAGCTATGATTGGCCAGTTTCATAACTTCGATGTAAATCGAGCCGTGTAAATGTAGTCATTTGTAGCGTCAAGTGGACCGCAGTCAAAGACTACGTTTACACGGATCGATTTACGCCGAAGTTATAACATCGATGTTAGGAAATTGGCCAATCGCAGTCGTTTCATTCTTCAGAGGAATAGCTATGATTGGCCAATTTCATAACATCGATGTTATAACTTCGGTGTAAATCGAGCCGTGTAAACATAGTCAAAGTCGCACGTAAAATGTGCTTGGATAATTTTCTTTATGCATACGTTTATGCGGCTAGTCTGTAAGTTTATGTGGATATACCCTTAGGACCTGCGCACAATGGAACAAATATTAGAAACAGGAATAAATATAAAAATTTCAACTTACCAGATATCAATTACACCGGAATACACGGTTTCTGATAAGTTGAAATCTTAATATTTATTCCTATTCGGCCTATTCCTAATATTTCCTCCATTGCGCGCAGGGCCTTAAGCGAAGAGAAGAATGAGAGCCCCTGGGACAAGAACTTTTGGTTGTAACGCTGACGACGATTGGCAGTCCTGTCGCCTCGCGGGGCAAGGCTCGACGGGCGACGGCTGCTCAGTCAGGGATCTCGATTGCATCGTGTCGGTTCGTAGGACCTGCGCGCGATCGCAAGCGTACGCGGGAGAGCTAAAGCGCACTCTCACCCGCTGCTGCTGTCCCTCCTTCCCTCTATCTCTGTCTAAGTCTGTCTCTCTTTCTTTCTCCCTGCACCGCCCATCGGCCGAATCGGTTCTCTAGCTTGGCCATCGCGCTGCTCCGAGCGAGAGACTCGAAGTTTTGGTTTTCGGCGGGCGTGGACGTTACAACTGGGTCCTCGTCGACGTGGATAGTGCGCGAAGGCACGCGAACGGACACCAGGAGGCGAAAGAAGGAACTCGAGGAACGGACGGCCGGAAGTAGGAAACCTATCGTAAAGCGGACGTGCACTTTTATTCCTCCCTCCTACCATCGTGCTCTCTCTGTCTCTTCCCCGTCGTCGCTCACTCGTTCTCTCTCCGTCTCTCCCCCTCTCCCTCCCCCCCTCCGTCTCTCCCCCATCTCTCTCTCCCTTGCGCGTTCTCTCTTCTGTCCCGCGTCGGTTCTCTCGACTCTCGTCGACGGCCGTCGGATCGCGCTGCACCGCGTCGTGTCGTGCCGTTTCGTGTCCGAGCCAGAACTCGCCGCCCGCCAGAGCCGCGCCTCCTGGAGCTCGCGGGCCGCGAAAAACGGCCACCGCCGGTGACAGTGACATGTGCGTTGCTCCAGTGCTGTGCCCCGCTGTCGTCACCGTGGCTACACGCCGGAGCAGCCTGCTGCTGTGCGCCCGCTGTGCTCCCTGTGCTCCCTGTGATCGTCTCTGCTACCGTGCTCGTGCACTCGTCGCCCGCGCCGTTACTCGCCGGAGTCGCCGTTGCACGTCGCCGTTGCGATGCGCCTCGTCTACGATGCCACCGCCCGCAAGATGCTGTGAGTATTTCCGCGTTGCGACAATCCGAAACGTATCCGACGAGGCCACGTCTCCTCGTCGCGACTCGGTGCCGACGGCGCCGACGGCTTCGCGATCGTCACCGTCGCGGCTCCGAAATTCTCAGAGGTTATAACGGGGAATCTCCCCCGTGCCCTTATAGAAATTTAATACTAGCACTGGTCAATTAATCACTTATTTTCAGTATTCTAAGTACCGTTAACAATACTTTTAATACACAATGAGTGATTAATGGCCAATATGAAAATTTAAAATTACTGTTAACAATACTTTTAATACTCAATAAGTGATTAATGGCTAGTAATAAACTTTTAAGGTACCGCTAGCATACTTTTAATACTCAATAAATGATTAATGGCCGGTATTAAAATTTAGAAGTACTGTTACCAAACTTTTAATGCTAAAAATACGTGATTAATTGATACTACTAGTATCAAATTTTTATAAGGATGCCCTTTCCTTTTTTTTTCTTTCTTGTTCCGAATTATTTATGATCGAGATTCACGCGCTTCGCTCGCTCCTCTTCTTTCCCTTCGTAAGATACGCTCGTAGCGAAATAAAGTCTGTTCGCGTTGCTTGAAAAATTTTCGCACTTAAAACGGAGTAAATATATATTCTGGCGTTAAAGAGACAGGAAGCAAAGATTCTCAATGCAAAAAGTGTAAGCAACGCGAATAGACTTATAATTTCTCCACTGTATTTCTCTCTCTCTCTCTCTCTCTCTCTCTCTCTTTCTGGTTGCGAACGGGTATCGCTCGGCTTCCTCCTCGTGCATTTTAACAGCCGTAAGCTGCTCCGCCAGCCCGTCCGTGTCGCCATGGCGCGCTCCTCGCCGCGGAAACGCGAACGCGGAAAAACAAACGCAGCGCGATTTCCGCCCGCCGTCGTCGTTTGTTCGGCAATGAGTCTACATCCGGGGAAATCGCGCGCCGCTCTTTATCTATCGATTCCTTCGGGCGTACGTGACCACCGACGACGGTTGTATAAGTCCTTCCCGCCGCGGCCGCCCGACGGACGGTCGCGAGGGAACGCTCGGAGGAAAACGCGAGCGCGACGACCGCCTTTGTAAAAGTCCCGTTTGCAGAGGCTTCCGAGCGGGGAAATGAATCTCTCCAAGTCTCCACCGGTTGTTGCACGCGGCGAGGCATTTCAGGCGCGAGGAACCGATTACCCGCGCGGAGATATCGATTTTGGAAAAGCCCCATCTCGTTCCCGTCGGTTCTCGTCAAGAGGAACCTCTCGTGTGCGGGGACCGCACGATCCTCTCTCTCTCTTTCCCCCCCCTTCTCTCTCTCTCTCTCTCTTTCTTTGATTTTATTTTGTTATCTATTATATCTTATGTTTGTTCTATTTTTATTTTTCTTTTTTTGCATCTTATGTTAATAAGGTCTGTATTTTCTTGCATTTCATTGTATTAGAATTTTTTTTTTCTTACCTTCACCAAATATCGAATATATACCTATTTCAGTTGAAGTTTCAAAAGTGTTTACTACTCCTTTATTTTTAATAATAGCTGTGTTCTTTTCAGATGAACTTCTTGCACTATTCATCTTTCCAATGCGGAGAGAAAAAGAAAAAAGATGAACGGTGGAACAAGTTCAGTTGAAAAGAACAAACCTAATGTTTATACACTTTAGGGAATGTAGTGCCAGAGCGTCCAATATATGATTCCAATTCTGTTTCTCATTTTCTTTAAAAAAAATTTACTTTATAATTTTTTTTTGTTTATAATTATTTCATTATCTTTTCTATTTATTTTTTATATTTTTATCTTTGTATTCTTTATTTTTATTTTGGAAATATTATTTTGTGTTATCGCTTTTTTTATTCATTTTCTTTTTACTTATCGTTTTTATATTCTTAGAGAGCTTGTCGTAGAATGGTTAATAAACGCCTTTATCTATCTATACATTATTATACCGCCTTTATCTATCTATACGTTATTATCTATCTATACATTATCTATTATTTATCTATCTATGTATATGTCTTTCTTTTTATTTTTTGCGTTTTTACTCCCAAATATCTCAGTTTACTTATCTCTATGTTCTTAAGCCTGTGTCACACTACGCATATTGGAGATTGAGGATTACGAATTAAAGAATAGAATTCAGCCAATCAGAACGAAATGAGTGACGGATTGAAATTAAAATTATCTATCTGGTCGAATTCTAATTTATAATTCACAATGCTCAGCTCCAATGTGTAGTCAGTGTAGTGTGACACAGACTTTAGAGGGCTCGCCCTAGAACAGTAATGAATGCTTTATCTCTCTCTCTCTCTCTCTCTCTCTCTCTGTACGGCCACCTCCTCGAAATCGAACCGTCATCGAACCGCGCGGCGTGCCTCGCCACGAAATGCCCGAAACGCTTCGCCGTGGTGGAATCGCGCCTAGAGTTGACGGACGAAATTTTCGGCGCCTCACATGGCCGCCGAGTCCACGGGGCACGTAAGTGTGTCGCGTAACAGTTGCCCACGGAAGAAAACATGGCAATCCGGGGCGAGCACATCGTCCGAGAGACGATTGATCGTCTCGTAAATGCGCGACACGAGGAACAGTTCGGTGGAACGGCACCGTCTGTGTCTTTCTTTACTTCAAAGGAGAAAAGCAACGGAGAGTGACAAAAGTTGAATTTCTTCACGGTTCTACGAGAAAGAGCAACGTTATTACATCTTCTTTGTAGCTAAATCACACGGAAATGACGGCTAAATATCTAAAAATTTGGCTGCAGATCTGAAAATAATTTTCTTGGATTATCAAAATAATTATGTAGGACGCTCAAGCTGGTTGCTAAAATGTCAAAACTTTTCGCAGTAATGATTATCATGCTTGAGATTTTTACGTAATTATTTTGATGCTAACAAAATTATTTTCAGATCTATATTTAGCTAAATTTTTAGATACAAAATTGTTCTTTCCGTGCAATGTATATTTATTGTTGTACTTAAAATATGGTATATGTATGCATGAAAAGAATGATTTTATTTAAGCACCTAAAAATTTAGCTAGATACACTCAGAGAAAAATTTTTGATATTTGTATATAATTACATACTACTATAATTAGGATTATTACTGCTATTATAATATTAGTAATAATAATCATATGTATAGTTCTAGAGCAATAAATATATATAGTTAACAACCTAAAATGATTATAATTATATTATCGTGGTCCAAAAAATGACTATAAAATTATAGTAATTTGAATCATTTTAATGATAATTTCAACCATTTTAATGATTATAATAACTATAATTATAGTTATTTTAGGTTGCCAACTATATATATTTGTTGCTAAAACTACATATGGTTATTATTACTAATATTATAACAGTAATAATTATAATAATATGTGTAGTTATAGTTATATAAATACTAAAAATTTTTCTCTCACGATCAATGTACAAATCTGAAAATAATTATATATATATATATATTTGGGCAATTTGATAAATCAGTGACATTTTAAAAGATTGTGTTGAAAAATAAGTCGAATTTTGGTAAAAAAAGAAGTTAAAATGAGTCATTGACTTGCGTCAGACTGATGCCCTTGTATATAATTTTGTTGGACCATGAAAGTAATTATGTAGAAAACTTAAGCATGATTTGAGCAACGTTGCAATATACATATATATCTGAAATTTGGTAAAGCCAGAGAGAAAATGTAAGTACAGTCTAGTGTTGCGACGAAAAACAGGCTTATCTCACGAGATAACATTGAGATGCTCGTGAGACTAAACCCGGCTCGTAAGATAGTTCTAGGCCCTCTCTATTGATTCGCGTTTTACCCTACTGACTCATTTACTACAATTTCGCTCAAACAAACACGAATTCCTCCTTCTTTCCCTCCATCATTTCCGCAATATACGCCAAGTGTTATGTTAAAATAGCCCTATTTTTCCTCTCAGTTGGGTCTTTCTAGTTAATGGCAAAAGTGGACGGTTCTATGAATGCGTTAATGAAGGGACACCAGCGGCGAGTTTTCGTCAGCAAAAGTGGAGTAAAGCTTTTCGATGGCGTTACTGCGCAGTAGGACGAGCCTGACCCCCCGAGTCGACGCTAACATGGTGGTTCGTTCCGTCGTGAACGCCGCCGGCGGCTTTTCCGCCTCGAGCCTTCCCAATCGGCATTTCGTACGCGTTCTAGGCGGCTACCTTATCAATACGATCCGTGATTATAAACAGTATGCGAACCGAGAAATAATTATAACGCCATTAGTCCCGCGAACCACCTCAACTTGTAACTGGATATCGATTTGAACGTCATTGTCCGTGATAATTAGATCGTTTCCAAGGTAAAAACTCCAATTCGGTATCCCGCGAATCGGTTGAAACATAAATAATGAAATAACGTCGTGATCGAGTTAATCTGCTGATATTCCCGTTGAAAAATCTCGTAAGTTTAAAATGAATTGGATTAATCTCCATTTCGTCGAATTTTGATAAGGCAGATCGATAATCAAGTCGGTTATCAGGAATCCGGTGAGTTTGAACTTTTTCTAGAAAGTCTTTAATTATTTGATTACACACAACATTGTTCCGTACTCATTTAAATTTTTGTAAATCACTTGTGTAATTACATTACTCGTCTTATCTATATTTATATGTATATCTTATCTATATTTATATAATTCCTACACGGAAAGAAGGCTTTGCTCAATCTAAAAATTTAGCCAAATATAGATCTGAAAATAAATGTAGGATCATCAAAATAATTATGTAGAATAGTCAAGCGTAATGAGCAATGTTATATAAAAAATTTTGACATTGTAGCAACCAACTTAAGCGTCTTACATATAATTGATCAATAAAATTTTGATGTTTCGACAAAATTATTTACAGATCTGTACCTACCTAAGTTTTTAAATACTTCAGCAAAATCGTTCTTCCTGTGTACAAATTTAACTAGATCTGAAAATACTTTCGTTCAATCATTAAAATAATTATGTAGGAAAATTAAGTGACGAACAATGCTGCAA